TAAACTAATTTTTTTTATATACAAAACATAATTAATTACTTAATTATAGTTTAAACTTGTGTAACTCTAACAAAAACACTCAAGATGTTTAAAAAACTTAAACTAAATTTTGACTAAAATTTTCTCTATTTTAAAAAGTATTTTTATTATTTATTATTTTAATAAACGTTTTATATATAATGTTTTATAAAAGTTGGCTTAATAAATAAAATTTTAAGAAATTTTATAAACTTTGAGCTAAAATTTTAAATATCAATTTGCAAAATAATTTGATGCATACAAATTTCACAATAAAATTATTAAAAACTTTAAAAATATTTTAGGTACAAAAAAAAAATTTGAAAAAATTGGAATACAAATTTAAAATTTTTTTTTTTTTTTGAATAACAATTTGAGAAAAAATTTTTAATAAAAATTAAACAAAAATTGAAAAAAAAAATTCAACAATTTTGAAATAAAACTTTTGAGCTAAAATTTTAATAAAAAATTATATATATAAAAATTTGTTAATTTTTATATAACTAAAGCTTGTATTAAAAACAATAAACATATTAAAATCTAAAATTCAGCTTAGCTGACAAAACGGATTTTGATAATATTTGAGGCAAGATCAATACTATTTTCGATAGTTAAATATCAACAGCTCTGCAAGTTATCGAAAACATTAAGCTAACAAAATATTTATAGAAACTTGCCATTTGTTTATAAATTTTAGTAGTTGCTAAATATTTAAAAGCAGCTATTAAAAATTTAACAAATTGCTCAGTTTTTGAGAGGCACAAATGGAAGCGAGTCTGACCAAATTAGAGCTTCGGCTCAAAGCTTTGCTAGCAAAGTTGTGATAATTAAAATTTAATAATTAATATTAAACATTTTATATTTAATAGCATAAATGTAGCTGTAACATGTAATCAAAAATAATTTAGTATCTTAAACAGTTTCTGCTTGATTAGAATTTCGTTTACTCTTGCTCTTATTTGGACAGCAACAAGGATGTGTTCGCTGCATGAACTATATAATTGTTAGCATGAATATATGCCTATATATATAGTATGTTGTATATAGTATATAGTATGTGCATACAAAAATGTACTTGCTAACCTGTGCGTGCCCGAGGCGCTATTTCAGCAGGTCAAATGGAAATTGTTAAATGCATTTTGCATTTCTCATTTTGCTTTTCCCATTTCCATTTGCAAGGAGACCCGCCCACAGCCTTTGTGGTTGCCAGATGCAGCTGCTGCCCGGTGGCTGTTTGAGCAGATGAAGCAGGTGGTGCGGGTGGTGCGAGTGGTGCGGGTGGAGCAGCAACCGCAACCACATGCGCATATACCGACTGAAGTGGCGTTTTAACGCTTCACATGCCTAACGAGGGCGACTCGGAGTGTGGGCCACACACACACATCCAGCTCATAGCTGCAAGAACATATTTTAATAAAATAAAAATGCCGAAAAGCAGCAGAAGAAAATGTCTCTCGAGCGGCTGCACATTAGCTAATTTCCAAAAAAAAAAACAAAAAAAACAAAAAAAATGTCGAGTGACTTCCGTTTCCGCAACGACGGCAGCCGAGTACCATTAAGGGTACGACGCATGAGCGTCGTAGGGGTAGTCCCTTTACCCTATGTCAAAGCCAAAAATAAACGTCAAGTTAACCTGGGAGTTTCCACAAATTTTGTTAAGTCTTAAGTCAAGGTAAAATCTAATTGATTGACTGCGTGATTGATTGATTGACGAAGTAAATGATTGGAAAAACTAAGTGCCTATTCAGTCATTTGACTATCTTTCGATTTGTTTGATTGAGGGATTGACTAATTTATCAGAATGGCTAACTTATGGATTGAGGGATGCACTGATTGACTGACGGAATGACTGAATAACAAATTGACTGACAGACTGATAGGTTGCTTGACTGACTGATAGTTTAAGGCTGATTGATTGATTGATTGACTGACTGTGTATCTCTGACTGATTGAATCTCTTATTGATTGACTGACTGACTGATAGATTGACTGAGCGATTGACTGATAGTATTTGATTGAGAGACTTACTGATTATATATCGAAGTGATTGAATGATGGACTGTTTGATTGACTGACTAATTGAGTTAATAATTGACTGATAGTATTAGATTGATTGACTGTCTGATTGAATCTCTGACTGATTGGTTGAATGACAAATTAATTGACTGCATGACTGGCTGATTGACTGATAGTATTTGATTGATAGACTAACTCATTGTATCTGTGAGTGATTGACTGATGGACCGCTTGATTGATTGACTGATTGAGTGACTGAGTGACGAGCTGACTCATGTTATTGATTGACAAGTAATTGACTGATGTACTGTATGATTGACTGACTGATAGTATAAGATTGATTGACTGACTGATTGACTATCATACAGATTGACGGAGAAGACGAAATTCCAGCTGATCGACTGCTAGCTTGATTGAACAACTTAAAGATTGATTGATCTACAGGTCTAATGATTGACTGACTGACAATCAGTCTTAGTCTCCCAGCCAACAGTTATTTTTCGACTTTCTATTAACAACTTCAAATTACTGAATATCTAAAGATATATAGATGTATATATTTTTACATCTATAGAAAATTCAGTGTTTTTCAAGCATTTCATTGAAATGCGCTTTAAAGCCGACTTGAATGGTAAATATTTATGTTTTGCAATTCAACTGCAAATTAATCTCGATTCAAATGCAATAAAAAGATGAAAAAAATAAATTTGATTTGCAATTTGCTGTTTCAATTACGCATTCGCCAATCGCAATTCGCAATTCGCAATTTTGCTGGCAAACAAATCGTCGACTGCAGCTGATGATGATTTTGTTCACATTATGTATACGCCACATAATCCATAGCTACATGCCAAGCCCACGCACAAAGTCGGCAGCGCCTTCATGCATGAATATATTCGAGCCACTGCAGCTCTCACTCACACTCACAAAGCGGGGGAGCGAGGGAATGAGAGCGACAAATGCAATGCAGAACGAAGAACAAACCTATTGCTGCTGCCTCGCTCTCTCTCTCTCTCTCTCTCTTTCTCTCTCGCACACATTGCGCTCTGGCAGGGTTGTCGACGCTAAGGCAACTGAAAATAAATAATCAAAATATAAAAGGAAATAAAAAACGCATTCCTCTCCATATAACACATCGCATATGGAATACCCTTACTTAAAATAATTTGAGCTTAAATTGCTCCATCCAAAAAATGTTTGCTTATTCCTAACCTAAGCCCTATATAAGCTAGATCAGATTTTGTTTCTATATAAAGATATTTATACGTTTTTCAAATGCCAAGCTTAAAGTAAATATCTTGAAAGCACACAAAGCTTTTCATATATGAACTAAATTTTTAGTCGATCAATCCTTTGACAGCTATATAATATGATAGTTCAATTTGAATGAGATTTTATATATGTATATAAAGAACTAAATTAGATTAAAATGTGATGAGTTTCATGAAAATATTTCCAAGAACTGAAAAGTTTCTCAAACAAGAACTAAATTAGCAACGAAGCATTTCCATGGCAGCTATATGATATGATATTCCGATTTGATTAAAATTATAAATATATGTGTAGAAGCTTAAAATATTCAAATGTGCTGAGTTTTATGAAGATATTTCGAAGAACTCAAAAGTTTCTCATACAAGAACTAAATCAAAGCCGAGCGCTGTTATATCAACAATTTGATAACAGAACTTATATAAACTATAGTGTATCTATTGTTATGCACTGCAAGTACAATGCCAATTTTATAGTACTCTCGAGGCAAGGCAGAGCAAAGCGACAAATCCAACGATGCGTTGGATGCTGGAATATTTGCATTCGAAATTGAGAAATGTTCTCTGTGTGTGTGTGTGCGGGTATATGAGCGAGGGTGTGTGCGTGTATGGGTGGGTGTTGATGTGGGTGCGTGAGTGTTGGCTCGTTGATGAACTATGTGTATACGCACATATGTACTTGACGATGTGAGGACATACATGTATAGCATATATAACACCATGAATACATACTGAAGTTGATCTAAAATGGCTCGACTATGAGATAACGTAGATGTAGCGATAGAGATAGAGATAGAGATAGAGATAGAGATAGAGATAGAGATAGAGATAGAGATAGAGATAGAGATAGAGATAGAGATAGAGATAGAGATAGAGATAGAGATAGAGATAGAGATAGAGATAGAGATAGAGATAGAGATAGAGATAGAGATAGAGATAGAGATAGAGATAGAGATAGAGATAGAGATAGAGATAGAGATAGAGATAGAGATAGAGATAGAGATAGAGATAGAGATAGAGATAGAGATAGAGATAGAGATAGAGATAGAGATAGAGATAGAGATAGAGATAGAGATAGAGATAGAGATAGAGATAGAGATAGAGATAGAGATAGAGATAGAGATAGAGATAGAGATAGAGATAGAGATAGAGATAGAGATAGAGATAGAGATAGAGATAGAGATAGAGATAGAGATAGAGATAGAGATAGAGATAGAGATAGAGATAGAGATAGAGATAGAGATAGAGATAGAGATAGAGATAGAGATAGAGATAGAGATAGAGATAGAGATACATTTTTTGCGAATTATAAATACAAGATTTTTATTTATTATTATTTTTAACTATAAGTTCTTAGGATATTACAAAAACACGCATACATAAAAAACCAAGTTAAATAAATATTTCACATGATTTACACGTATTACCTATCCAGTAATATATATATATATATATATATATATATATATATATATATATATATATATATATATATGGTATTTATGATATATAATATAATAAAGTATATTTAAATATATATCATAAGACATTTTCATATATGATAAAAACAAAGTTTCAAAAAAAAAAGGTCAATTTACACTTGAAAAAATTTCAAATAATTTAAATATTATTAATTGAAAGTATATAGTTTTTAACAAATTTAGCTTGTATAGAACTGATTGCGTATCAAATTTCTATACGTATATATATATATTATCCGATATTGTTGTCGTGCAAAAGTCTGTCCATTTCTTTGCATCAAGAATTTATTCAGCAGCTGCTGTTCGCGCTCTGTTGGGAGTTGTATAAAGTATAATAATTTTATGTGCAGCTTAATGTAGAAAAACAGTTATTGAATTATTTGGAATGACGGCATTTAATTTGTAAGATTGGCTGGCGGCAAGTCGCCAGCCACTGCCTGCGTGGAGAGCTTCGGTAAGATATTCTTGATGAGCGGCGCGGGCGTAGTTTTGGCAGCCAGCGCCGCGGCCTCTGGCGGACTGTGAAAGAAGTAAAGCAGAAAGCCCGCAGCCAAAATGATGTGAGCGCCGAGTATGCCAATGATAAGGAATAGGGAATATTGTGAATTGCGAAGCGCTGGCGTCAGCACGGCAATCAGTACTGTGCCCGAGAGCAAAGCTGCCGTTATAACGAGCAGCCACTGTAGCAGCGAAATCTGCAAAACAAATCAAACATTTATGCGAAAAGAACAAAAAAAATCTAGATTCGAACTCACATTGATCACCCAGAGTATGGAGACGGGTATATAGATGGCCAAACTATAGCCATAGATGCACATTAGCGACAAAAGACTCGGCGTGTAGCTGGCCTGCGACAGAGAGAGAAAGAGAGTGAGTAACAGAAAGGTATATACAAATACGAGTCTGGACTAACGCTATCCGTTTCCACAGCGTCGGTCGCATCGACGGGCTTGAGGCTATACTTGAAGAGCGCCCAGAGTATGGCTGGCAAGATGTTGGCATAGAGAAAGATGCAGCTGGCCGCATATGACACCAAATGGAAATTATAATGCCAATGGTAGCTGTCGTCGGCCTGCTGCAAATAGCTGGCTAAATTGCCACTGATGGCAATTGAGAAAATCTAAAACGATAGAGAAAGTTATTTACGCATTTGAAGAGACAGAGAGAGAGACCGGCTGCTCCTACCAGCGTTATGGTGATCCAGAAGGGACCATAGAGATCTGGATTCTCGCCAATGTTCATGCGCAAATAGTTGGTCGCAGCGCGTTTGGGTATCATGCTGTTGACAATGCGCTCCAGCACCATGTAAGTATCGACATTGAAGAACTGCTGATAGTATTCGATGGTCAGAAAGGAGAGACGAGCGCCACCGCCAGCTGTACCGCCGCCATCCGCTGAGCCGAGCGATGCGTTGGCACCGCCGCTGCCGTCGTTGCCGCCGCCGCCAATAATATTTTGAGCCGAATTGCTCATATCGTATATCAAATCGGACAACGGATCACCACGTTGACGTTGTCCATTATAATTAACGCCGCCGCCTCCTGCGCCGCCAGCGCCACCTCCAGTTGCATGCGTTGGCGAATTGACATTGATTTGCGCTGGAGTGCCGCTATTAGTTGCGCTGTAGTCGCGAAACTGTAGCAAATCGTCGGCCGTCGGCGTTTCCATAGCTCGCTAATGGCACTATATAATACAATTTTATCACGCTCCTTATTGAAATTACACGTATCTATCGGCAATGCTTATATTTGTTTTTCTCGTTCGTCTCTTCGTATTTTTTTCTTCTCACACTCATTCGTCAGCTGTTGGCTTGGCGCCTGCGTGTGACCGTATTATTTGAAATTTTTGGCTTTTTGAACAGCTTGCTACACTATAATCAGTACAAGTTAAAAAAAAAAAAAAACAATATTGATTATGTGAGTATATTTATCAATGTAGAATTGATTTTTAATATTGCACTTAGAAAGTGAGCAACACATTTGAAATACATCGATATGTCGATGGAAAGAAAAGTATCGATTGCTATGCGCTGTGCAACACTGCCTGCCATTGCGTCGTCAGCCAACACTTTTTGCTGCTGCAGTACAAAACAATATTCGCTGGCTAGCAAAATTTCCATAGAATTTGTCGAGAAAAACGGTACTTGTTAAAGAAAAAATTGTTTTTTAGAGTTGCACAAGTGAGTGCTGTGCTTGCTTAACACACGCGCAAAGAAACACACGTATAGGGAGATCGTAAAGCAGTTATCTCTGCCCCTTTCCCCCCCAAAGTGCAAACCAAATGCCAGTAAAAAATGGCGAATCAGATGCGGAGGGCGACGTCTCTGGTGCGGAGTCGGAGCGCTCAAACTCCAGCCAGGCGCATGACACCTCCGACGAAGAGGAGGAGGAGGCCAATGAGTGCGATTCCGATGATTCCTCCGAAATGGATGCCAGCGAAATTGAGCTGCGTCGCGCCGAACATATCGAAGATTTGGGTAAAATTTGGCGCCAATTTTATAAAGTTCATTTTCATTGATATAAATTTATGTTGAACCGCAGCCAGCCTGGACCGACAATTTAGTCAGCTGCGCGAGCAATATTACTGCGAACGCATCAATCACATTGAACGGCAACTCTCGGATGTGCGCTCCGGTCGATCCGAGGAATTTGTCCAGCCACAAAAGGAACTGGACAAAGTCTATCGCACACGCATCGAGGTGGCCGACGTGTTGCGCAAGTTTCGCCTGCAGAACATCGAGCATAAATACCTGTCCGAGGAGCAGGCAGCAGCACAGCATTTCGAGGTGAGTAACTGCAACATTTGGTGCTAAATTTATTTGTTGAGCGATTCTCTGGCATTCACAGAGTGAGAAACAAATGGCAGTGGATAATCTGCGCGAGGATCTAATGGAGCGTATACGACGGCTCGAAGAGGATCGCCATAACGTGGACATCTCCTGGGATGATTGGGGCAATGATAAGCGACAGAGCAAGGTGCGTGGACCAGGACGTAAAAAAGCGGTCACTGTCACCGGCCCGTATGTTGTATATATGCTGCGCGAGGAGGATATTATGGAGGATTGGACGATAATACGTAAAGCACTGAAGCGTTCGTCCACAGCCACAGCCAATGTGTCGGCGCCGACGGCCAATCTGGTCGGTGTGCCGCTGACGCCGACGGCGATGGCGGGTGCCAATGGATAACGGTGGCGTTCGGCTGCCTATGGCCAGACGCGCAATAAAAAGCTCACCTGACGGCAGCGAAAGGTAGCATCGTCTACTAACCGGAATGTCCATTAGCTACTCTGTTAAACGATGATTATGTTTGTAATAATCACGCACGAACGATGCAGCGCGATTAATCGTTCGAGCCATTATGCTTAAAACCCACTTTATATTATATTATAAACAAAACAAAACGAACCGCAACAAATGTCGACCCTCAAAACAATACAAGCCCATACTTAATCTTAAGTCCAAATTGTAGTATAAATTTGCATTACACACGATATGTATATATACATACATATATATATTGTCTAACATTGTATATATAGCTATATATTTGCTTTCGCCACAGCTCCTGCTACCCTAGAAACCTCAGTCAAGTTACGTCTTGTTGTCTATGCTAATCACGTCTCCACATTTATATATATATGTATATATATATATATATATATATATATATATATATATATATATATATATATATATATATATACATGTATACATACATATATATGTCTATATAACTATATTAAGCAGATCTGTAAACTAAATAAAGTCAATTTTTTTTCTCATTACTTTAAAGCAAAGCGAAATTTTTGCGTAAGTTAAATATTGAAATATTGTAATTAGAATTCACGCAATTAAGCGGAAAATGAGTGGAAATCGAGAAAATTATTAACAGTTAGAATCCATAAAACCATTTGTATTTGCCTAGTTAAGAAAAATGCCAAGAAATCTGTTTTGGATCTTGAGCATATATGTAAATAGATCTATAAGAAATCCACTGGAGTGAAATGAACTCACCTAAAGTTGTGGAAAATGCGAGTTGCATGAAACTATATGTAAACTAGTTTATAAAGTCGAAAAAACGAATTACATCTTAGAGGAAAATGTGTTTTAGCCTAGGAGCACTATGTATATCTGTAAGAATCCATAAAGAATTCACTTGAAGTTGTGAGAAATGGGTGAAAATGTAGTTGTACTCATTTGCCTTCGTTTGGCCACAAACCAGGCAACATGGACTCTAGTCTCTAGTTATGGGCATTATCTATATACGAAATTAGCCGGCTTTGCGCGGCTTTACATTGATAACGGAAACAAATTCGGAGTCTTAAGATTTAACTGTTTATTGCAAATAAATGCTTAGTTCTGGATTAGAATCCCTTGCTCTTGAGATGCTCCCGCAGCAGATCCACGTAGTCGCCGTGGATGTGAATCTGGCCGCTTAGCTCGTTGACGCGAGTGGCGCACAGTTTGCCATTTCTTGCCTGCTCCACAACTTGGCGCAGATCCCGTTCGAGTGCCCAAATATCGCCCTGGATGTATCGCACGATTGTGAGGCGACGCTGGCCGCGGAATCGCGTATTTAGGTAGACGGGCACCATGTGATTCTTGGTGCGTGCCACAAAGTAGCCGCTCTCCTCGCCATTCGCTGTTTGTGGCTGCCAGCCGGAGGGATATTCCGACTTCTCGACTGGCTGTGGCACGGTGCGTGGTGGCAGCAAGCGCTCCACATACTTCCACTCAGGCGGATTGTGCAGCACCTCCACCTCGGGATACTGTTCAAGCGGCTTCACCTCGCTGGACGACCGAAAGCTGGACAGGCGCGCGTAATCAGTGTGCAGCGAGCGCATAAACTGCAAGGGGACAATTTCACTGATCAAATACTAACGGTTAAGAGCGTGTCCGCAAGCCACTCACCTGCTTTAGTCCCGTCAGCCGCGGTATGTTAAGTATTACCTTTGTGCTACCTGCCATTTGCTATTACTTCTAATTGACTTTAATGAAAACAACAATAAAACAGCTACAAATTGTGTTACATATGCGCTGTGCGGAACTAGCGGCGGAACTAGTGATCAACAGCGTTGCCACTGTGCTGGTTCAGTGTTATAAGACGTCAGTTTTCTCTGTCGGCGCCTTAATAAAATTTATTAAGCTATATATAAACACATGATAAAAAGCAAAAAAAAAAATAATGTTAACAATCTTTAATAAAAGCAAATTGTGTTAGATATGTTTTGCTTGAAACTAGCTGATAAACTGCAGCCGCCTAACGCTGAGCGCTTTCAGTGCTGTAAAGTGTGATTTCTAGCCATTGGCGCCTTTTTATTAGCTTAGTGTATAAGCGTTTGTATGCAACAAATGCCGCCAGCGACGTCATCGTTAGAGCTAAAGCTTTTGCAAATGCATGCACACACACACACATACATACACTTGCACGTAGGCAAACACAAGCTTATTTTAATCATTAACGCTGCAGCTGCTTCGCTTGGTGTTGTTGCTGTTGCTGCCGTTGTTTTTGCTGCATTTGATGTTGATTCTAGCAGCAGCAGCAGCAGCAGCAGCCGCCGCCGCCGCAATTTGTTAGCTTTTTGCGCTCAGTTTCAGTTTTCTCGGCGCTTTCGTTGCGACAAGTTGTTGCTGTGTTTTTGCCCAACACACAACCAAAGAGCAAAACTAATTTTGTTTTTCTCCACATATTATTTTGATACCGTTTGTTGCACTCGCCTCGTGTTGAAAGAGTGCGAGAGAGACAGAGCTAACTAGCTAGCGAGCGAGCGCGCGCAAATTCTTGTGTTTGTTTTCCATTTCCTTTTACTGTAATGTGTTTGCCTGCAATCGTAACGGTGCAGCTTGTCAGTGTTGTAAAGCGCTAGGAGCATGGCTCGCAAGGATGATCCCGTTCTCAATGTGAAATTCGTGCAGCTGGTCGAGAATCAGCCCTGCCTATGGAATTACACACATCCGGGCTATAGCAAAAAGGAGGAGGTGCAGAAGGCCTGGCAACATGTGGCCAATGAAATAAAGGACACAGGTGCATATATATTTATGCACACATATATGTATGTGTGTGTGTATGCTGCGGGCAAAACTTTTCATTTCTGCTGCACTTGTAGATTTCCATTTCCATATTCGTTTATTTGTGTTTTTTTTTTTTGCAATTGCGTGCTCATTTGTTGTGCGAGCGCGTGTGTGTGTATGCTGGCGCGCGCCTATGATGCAAGCTTTTTGCATTGTGTGCGTGTGTGTGTGTGTGTATTTTCAATGCAATCACAATTTGTAGTCGTGCCAACTCACTTGCACTCAACGCTTTAAATGCCTCTTAGCATGCATGCATGCATGCGTGTGTGTGTGTGCGCGCGGTTGTATGTGTGTAGGTGTGTCACTGTGTCACACACAGCACTAGCTGCGCGCGACGTTTGCATACAATTAGTTTTGTTGCTGTTGTTGCCGTTGCTGCGGCTGCCGCAGCCGCTTTTGGCATGCAATTAAAAAAGTTCAGCAATTGCAGCGCAGTGGAAATACCCTGCATGCATGCATGTGTGTATGAGTATGTATGTATGTCGCTCGTCGGCATTTGACAACACTTGTTGCCGTACAGATCGCAGCGCTTGCATTGTGCAGCACTGCACCCTCCTTGGCAGCCAGTTGCTGAGTCGCTGAGCGAACTAGGTTATGAGCTTTTTTGATTGGCCAATTAAATGTTCATTTTGATAAGTTTAATTTAGTTCCACTTAATAGTTCCGCTCAGCGGGCTGGTACACACACGCACGTTATGCAGCACTCGCATTCAAGGATTTGGCAGAATTAGGTTAGGGCTGGCATGAACAGAGCAAATGAGGTTAAAGCTGGCATCAAACTTCTCACTAAATTTAATATATATATATATATATATACATATATATACTATAAGCTTACTGTGTTCTGGCTTTTCCTTTCCAATCTGTCAGACAGCATTTCGGGTTCCTAGATAATTCCTTACTTTTATCATGACCTCTAGACATTCGACATTCTATTGCCTTTATTTTGAAAAATTCCGAATGCATTCCCTTTCCGAGATGCTGACTTTTTCGGACTTAATTTAGTTTTGCATTCAGAATCTCGATATCAAAGCCTGGACCCCCGTTCATTGTGAATGCCTTTCGCTATCTTGACTTCATCTCAGTCCGAATTCTCAAATCGGTTTCTTGATTAATTTTAATTCCGAACAAAGAAATTGACTTCCTAAGCGTTTTGCTTTGTTGTTGAGAGCTTGACTTATTCCCTGAAGATTCTCTCTGATTGGAGCATTTCTTCCATTCATTTCAAGTACTCCGAATTGATTTCGTATAAGTCCGAATATTAATTTTCCTCTCTTTCATTCAATAATTGCTCTTATTCCGAATTGACTTCATATAATTCCGAATAATTCCTCTCTCTTCCATTTCTATATTCATTTGACTCCAAATACTTGCCCACAGTTCCACTTCTCGATTTCCTTTCATTCCGAAAAATTCACCAGTTTCTTGGCCTTGTTTTCAAAGGGTTCTCCGAATTCTCTCCAAGAAGTTCACTCCAAAAGTCGATCCCCATTCAATTGCCACTTCGAATCTCGAGTACCCCCATTTAATATCCCCATTCTGATCATCTCAATTGCAGTTCGGAATTCACGCGAGCGCTGGCGCACCATTCGGAGTAGCTTCCTGCGATCCTTGAAGCTGGCACGCACCCAGACGGGTCGCGGCAAGCGCAAATACTACTTGTCCAAGTATCTGCAGTTCCTGATACCCTACACAAAGTCGCGAGCCTGTCACAAGCAGCTGCCGCTTGGCCAGCCGCCCAATCCCAATCCGAGCTCGAATCTCAATGTCAATTCGAACTCGAACTCGAATCCAGGTGGCGGAATGGTGCTGCGCAAGCCGAGCACCTCGACGACAACGGTGACAGCGGCAGCCACATATCTGACGCGAATCGGACAAATGCGACTGCTGGAGCAGCATCATCATCATCAGCAGCAGCAGCAGCAGCAGCATCAGCTGCATCAGCAGGAGTTGGAGCTAGAGCTGGAGCTGGAGCGGGAACGGGAGCGGAAGCAGCATCATCATCAGCAGGAGGACGACACCAAAGACAGCAATGGCAGCCACGAGGATGAGGAGCAGACGGCAGAGTCTCACGACGAGCAGGACGAGCAACGGCACGAGGCATCGGCTGTGTCGCCGTTGCGACTGCAAGCCATCAAAGTGGAGCACCAACACCAACAGCAGCAGCAACAACAACAGAGCACAGAGAAAATTGCTGCTGCAGCTGGTGCACAGCACTCGCTGGTCACGTTGCCCGTGTCGATGGCAGCGGCGCTGCGCAACAACATGGACTGGACGATGACCGAATGGCTCAAAGGTAGCGCCAACCAGTTGCACTACAACAGCAATAACAACAACAGCAGCAACTGCAACAACAATCTGGCAACAACGCCACCAGGTGCAAGCACACCTGCGCCCGCAGCCTCAGTCGCTGCCGCGACGGCAGCAGCGCCAGCACCTGGCCTAACGCTCGCTCAGCCCGACGCCGATTACTCGTTTCTAATCAGCCTGCATCCGTATTTGAAAGAAATGAGCGGCAAACAGAATCGTAGATTTAGGCAAAAAGTCGTAGGACTCATCGACAATGTGTTGGACAATTTGGATGTTTAGAAAACATATAAAATGAAGAAACAAGAAAGAAGAAGAAATAACCAACAGTGCCCATTTGTTATAAATATATATAGCAATTTAATGTATTTGTATTTTTTTTTGTTAAAGTTACACACACACAAACACACACATTTGTTATATGTAAAACAAAAGATAAGAAGAAGAAAATGTCATGCAATGCAAAATAAAACGCTTTTCACAAAAACAAAGCAAATTCAAATTTAAATTTCACTCGCATTTTACAGCACTGTATTGATAGGCGTTGCCAGACTGTTTGCACGCACAGTAACAGCGGCTTTTGTATTTTCTGGCAACACTTAAATTATTTTAGATGAAAAAAGCGCAAGTTGACATTAATTGCATATGAAAACGTGCTGACCAGCAATATTTCTCATTGCTAATAACAGTATGTAGAACAGCACAAGCCTGTGTGTGTGTAAGAAGTAGAAAATGTTATGCCATGCAAAATAAAAAGGCTTTTCATGAAAACAAACAAATTCAAATTTAAATTTAAGTTGCAATTAGTAGCACTGTGTAGCCAGGCGCTGCCAGATCGTTCCCTCACACAGCAATTTCACGCAACAGCTGTTTTTTTTTTTGGTCTCTGCCGCTGTGGCAACACTATTTAAGTAATTATTTCAGATTAAAACAAAAAGCGCAATGTTAACATTAATTGCATATTAAAAACGTGCTGGCCAGTAAAATTCCTCATTGTTAATAACAGTAGGTAAAAGAGCACAAGTCTGTGTATGCGCGCGCGTGTTTATGTGCGTGTGTGTAAAGTGTGCATGTGATGTAATTTGCTGTGCAGATAACGCAAAAGCTTCAAAAACTATTGCTGAATGTTGATAATTATTATATAAAAGCAACGCTGTGCGCGCACACACATAACACACACCACCAGACGCACGCACACACACGCTTAGACTTTTGGAGAAAGTCGTTTGCTGTATAAAATTGTCAAAGTAACGGCGCATTCTATTTAGATTAGATGCGCCAGCGACACAAGGAGAAGGCAACAGCTGCAGGTGCAATTTCTTGAGAATCCGAAGGCAAAATGCATAAATGCTGCATACAGACACAACAGGCCACGCTTACAAAGTCCACCACCAGCATTGTTGAGACAGTTTACAGCAAGAAGAAGATTGGCAGTATTTGTAACGGTATTGGCAATAGCATTATGTCCAGTTGCCACAATAATGATGGTGATGATGATCATAGTGCTGATGATGCCATCTGTCCCGTAGTCATAACAGAGGCCACACGGGCCCACATTAGGCGTCGCGTTCGCACCGCCTTCGATTTCTTTGACCAAACTTTGATGCTCTACAAAATCGTTCAGCTAATATTTTGCTTCAATGGCGGCAAGGATTGCACAGTGCTGCTCGATCTGCTGATGCGCTACTGCCAGGAGCAGAACATCGACAGCGGCCAGATACCGATGCTCTATATTGAGTCGGACGATTCTTTTGAGGAGATCGATGACTTTGTCAAGCACTGTGTGAATCGCTACAAGGTGAAGCTCATCAAATACAAGGACTCACTGAAAGTGGCGCTCACCCAGATGACGCAGGACCTGCCGCTCATCAAGGCTGTCTTTGTCGGCAGCCGAAACACGGATCCCTATTGTGGCAATCTGAAAGCCATGCAGGTAAACGACCTCGCCCCTTGCGCTCCCATTTCAATTTTAATTTTCCAACTGCTTTCCAGAAAACGGACAGCGATTGGCCGGATATGATGCGATTGAATCCCTTGCTGGAATGGAGCTATCATGACATCTGGCACTATATACACATGTATAAGGTGCCCTACTGCAGTTTGTATTCTCGCGGCTATACATCGATTGGCTACAAGTCCAACACCTTCCAAAATCCGCATTTGCTCTGCACCGAGTGTGCTATGGTTGTAGATGCTGCAGCTGCGCCAACATCCGATGCTATCGCCACACCTTGCTACAGGCCCGCCTGGGAGCTGGTCGATCCCACAACGGAACGGGCCGGACGACGCAGTCACAAATAGTCGCTAACAATTTAGTTAATAATAGTGCAATTGTATTGTAAATATCTACTGTATATATATGCATATATATACATATATATATATATATATTTTATATATATATATATATGTATATATATATATATTTCTTATTTTTTACTCAATTTTTTTTTAGTTCAAAGAATTTAATTCATATATTTGTATACAAAGCGGATCGTACTCGGCATATTGATGTGTGCTTTAATATACATATATATATAGTTGTCTTTTATATGATATGTATATATTACATATATCAGCTTTAGCTTTAGCTTTAATATTGGTATTCATTTCAGTTCGTGTAAATTGAGAAAATTTTTTGCAGTTGTTGAGTTTTTTCTTGTTTTTTGCTGACTTGAAATTAAAAACTGCAAGTCAATTCAGATATTTATATATGTAGATATTATATAAACATTCAGAGATATATTTATAACTAAGTTTAGGTTCTGTTTGCACAGTGAAGCCTGCTGTAGCCGAACGTTTGCAGGCAACTCTTAGGAGCTTCAGCATTTACAGTGCTCTGTTAAACAGCCGGTTAACATTCGTGCCGCTTAACATTTAACAGCTACTTAACATGCTAGCTTTATGCTAAGTGCTCTTAATGTTTGTAAATAGCAAATGAAGTTCTAAGTTTTGTAATTGAAAAAAAAAAAAAAATAAATAAAAATTAAGTCTTAAGAAAATATATATAGTTTTTAAATTGCTGTTTTTATACTAGAAAATAAACAAATTTGTTAACAATAATATTACGTAACCTTGGCTCGGGCTCCAATGAGATCAATCCATATATTTACCTAACTTACATATTTATTTATTTCTGGATGTTATAATTAGTCACATGTAATCATTCTGAGCGTCTTGTTCTGGTATCGCTGTATAATTCCGATATTAGAATTACTAACAGTACCCCATAACTGCAATACCTAGGTTCATACTGGTATCAGTACTGCCTTATATAGCCTTAATTTGTTCTCAAGACTAAGTTCAGAACGTGGTCCTAACATACATTTTGTTGCTGCTCTTGTTTCGATTTGATGTGCTGCTTCCAAGTTATACAAAATCTAGGAATAAACCTCAACTACAGAGTTATGAGCAAACTGTTATACAAATTCATATAGCAAAAGTTATGGTTAATATGTTCTGCAGTTATGCTCAAACTGTTATACAACGCCTTCCTAGCCGAAGTTGTGATGAATCTGTTATACAATATTAGATTATAAAAAATTAAGTCTATCTGTTATACAGTTATGTTCGATATGTTATAAAATAACCATGCCTCAGCCATAGTCTGAACTCTCAATCTGTTATACAATATATTATAGACAATTTAAAGCCCTATATAAGCATATTCTTACTGTTATATCATATAACAATCTATCAATATAACAATCAATCAATTTCTAACAATCCCCTCAGAAGTTCGCTCACTGTTATACAACATCTCTAGTTCAGCAATCACCTAAATTATACATAATCTGTTATACAATTTACACTGCTTCAGCTAGAACTAGATTCACATCCAATCTATTATACAATTTTTACTATATAGAGAGTTCACTGTAGTCACTAGAGCTGCAAGGACTCGAATCGCAGATAGTCCGAGAGCTGCGCCGCCTGCTGCTTCTTGTCGGCGATGCGCGAACCAAACTGGATGGCGCGCTTCTTGAGCAGCGTCGCATCGCGCAGTCCCAAGCTGTGGCCGTAGAGGCGCAACAGCAGCTTATCGCCGACGCCCTCGGGCAGGGCGTAGCAGCAGCGCTGCTGCGGCGCCAGCGAGCGTACAAACTGCGATAAATGTTCCTCAATGAAGGGAGCCCGCGCCGTCTTGCCGCAGTCGGCAATGATGCGATCGTCACGCGCCAGATTACGTGCGGGTATGCGCTGCCAATCCATTTCCAGTTCCTGGCGCAGCGCCAGCTCGCGCGAGTCAGCGCTGGGCGCAGCTCTGCGCCAAGCATTGCGATGCCGCGTATAGCCGCCAAACAGCTCGTCGGCGCCACTGCCCAACAGTGCAACGCGAGCCGTTGAGCTGGCTGCAGCAGCGGCAAACCAAAAGGCACAGCCCAGCGACTCGTCGAGCACAGTTCGCAGCGGAAAGATGAGCTGGCGAATGTGCGCAGCGAGCTGTTGCTGCAGCTGCTGTCGGCTGACGTTCACCTGCAGCAGCTGCCAGTTGCGCTGCGGGCACAGACGCTGCAGCTCGACGAGCGATTGCAGCGATGTTTGGCGATCCGGCACATCCCAACTCTGATCCGGACCGCCTGCCACTCGCTCGAACGCCACATTGATGAGCTCAATGGGCTCCGAGTGGGGCACGTATTTGTCAGCAAGTAAGGCGAGAATGCTGCAGTCTATGCCGCCCGAGAAAAGTACGGAGATCTTGGCATGCGTGCAGCTGCCACCTGTGGCAATGCACAGCCGACAAACAGGCGCCGTATGCAGCACACGCGCTGCCACCGATCGTTGCAGCAGCTCATCCAATTTGCTCAACGCCTGCTGCAAGGCTTCGTTCTGCAGCAGTCGTTCGTAGAGCAACTCCGATGGCAATTGGTCCGCTGCTAACTCATACAGATCATAGCTGCTCGTCTGCCGCGGCTTGTCCAGCAGCCAAGACGGCGCAATGGACTGTTCCAGTCGCGTGCTCCACTGCATGGCTGACTCCAAGGCAGAGAGCTGTTGCTGTGTCTGCTCGTTCAGCTGCTGCCAGGGGTATAGACAACACTCATTGAGCTGCGACAAGCGCAGCTTGTAGAGGCCCAACGGTGGCAGCTCCATGGCAGCGGTGGCCACGTGCGGCTCCACGTGGCACGATGTGCTCATCAGCTTAAGGCACTTCGGGTGGCGTTCAATGATTAATGAATTTCTGCCTAAGGCGTCGCGACAAAAGTATAAAATCTGTTCACGTCTGCAAGTATGGTTCGATTAGCAAAGCCGTACAGGGTATATTATAGTGTCATACTCACCTGTTGTACAGTATCAGGCAGTAGGGTCCTTCGAGCTGCCGCAGCAACGCCACCAGCTGCTCGTCGTTATTGCTGCTCAGTTTGTTTAGCTCCCCCAGCAGCCAAGCGCTGTCTGCCACGCTCTCCAGCTTCTTCTCATCCAAATTATACAAATCGCCATTGAAGAGCAGCACCAAATCGTGTTCAGCTAGAGGCTGCTTCTGTGGCGCGGCGCCTTGTTGCCACAGAACGTTGCCGGCCAGCAGTACATTGTCAATGATGAGCCTATCCTTGACGTCCGGTCCACGATTGTGCAGTAGCTGCTCTAAAGCGCTATGCAAATGACAACTGACATCGCTATTTTCGCTGATTGCACAGAAAATGCCGCACATTGCGTTTCAAATTGTAAACATTGGCATGTGCCTGTGCTTGCGAACCAGTTCAAATGAGCGTTTTGTGCCTAACAGCACCATTTCGAGTACAAGCCAACATTCAAAATTTTGAGATGTTTTTCATAACTTAGCTTACAGCAGTTTGATTGAATTAAATTTAAAATTTTTTAAACATAAGAGCATACCACCAATTAAATGAAAATATTTAAGCAGCCATTAGCGTTCACAGAGCTCTTCAATTCTGCTAGCCTTTGCCAGCACTGCAATAAATCATGTTTGTGGACCTGTTCTGCCAACAGCTGATTTCAAATTTGGCAACTAAATTTTACTAACAGTTTCGTAACGAAAACTAAATTTTTTTCGTCTTTCTTTACAATAAATTACATTAGCATTTATGAATGACCATGTTCATCAATATTGAGCTGATGAAGTCCTGTTGGCTTTAACAGAGCTGTTAAGTTTATTAAGCCTTTGCCAACACTGCCATGATCCATGTGCAATTGAACGAGTTAAACTTATTTGGCCAACAGCTGATTTTGAATTTCGCAACAATCGTGCAAGTTTATTTATTTATGTTTACGTAACTCAAATACAAACCATTTTTTTTATTTTATACACATTTTTGAGCGTGTCAACGCACACAGATGCTGTAGTGCGCCAAAAGTTGTAGCCACCGCCACCAACACCCGGCAGCAAGCAAGCAAACAAAACAAACAAGAAAGCGACAACAACAACAACAAGAACAACATTTGATCGCCCGCTCGTTTGTGAAGCGGTCAAACGAGATGGCACGGTCAGCGCAAGACGTGCTGGGCGTGCTGCGCGGTCTGCAAATAGTTGCGGAGGCGTGCGGACGCGAGCATCTGTCGCTGACTAAGCATCTGTGGAGCAATTCGAGTGTGCGCGAACTGATCTCAGTCAATGTGACTCAGACGGTGGACGCGTTGCGTGAGGCCAGCGAACAGCCAGCAGATCGATTGCGGAAGGCTCAAGAACTGATCCAGGAGACCGGGGAACGCGGCTACGTTGTTGCTCACGGCTTGTGCCAGCTGCTGGAGACCAAATTGCCCTCCGATCTGAGCGCGCTACAGCGCCTCAATTCTAGTGGATCAAGTGGAGCTGCAGCTGGTGGAACAGCTGCTGGTGGCAGCACAGGGTCTGGCCAGCGCTCGAGTCGCAGCCATTTGGATGGTGCCGATGCAGCCACTGTCGATATCTCGTCTATAACGCTGCTCGAATTCGAGGAGATCCTCTCCAAGCGCAACATGAACCGCAACGTTAGCCTACGCACGCCCAACACACAAACCAAGCAGCTGCCCAGCAGCGATGCGACCTCAGCCAAGGCCAAGGCCAAGGCAGCAGCCATCCCACCCACGCCCATTGGCGGCGATGGCATTCTGAACAAGGACACCGAATATGTGGACAATCTGATGCGCTTCGTTGCCGGCAGCTCGACCGTTGCGGCAGCCGAAGCCGCTGAGAAAAAGGGTAGGCATGCGGCGGAAGTTCTGTGTTTCAATTCCATTTTGAGTGAATCGTAAGCATTGCCATTGCCTGTGTTCCAATTCCATTTGTATTGCTTCCCGCTCTCTGAATGGGAAACGAGCTAAAATTTCATTTTCAATGAATTGGCATTGCCTGTGTTCCAATTCCATTTGTTTGCTTTGGCTGTCTGAAGTTGATCTGTCTATAATCTTATTGAATTGGTTGCCGTGTTTCATTCCATTCACTCACATAATTACTAGTTCCATTTTCTGTGAATCTTCATTTGCATTCCTCCTGTTCCTGTTCCATTACGTTACTTTTCCTCTCATTCCCTGAGTCTTTTGCTTCCCCTCACAGTGAAATTGACGTAAATACTTTTGATAAGTTTCTGACTGTTGGGACAGCGTTTCATTTCCATTTGTTTTTCCCCTCAAAATGCAATTGTTGCGAATTAAACTTAATATGTCTCATATTCCAATCGTTTCACTTTCATTTCTAAAGATTTCTTGCTCGTATTTCAATTCCATATATTCCCAATCAAAATGCAACTGTTGCAAACTAAATTTGTCATGTTTCATGTTCCAGTCATTTCAGTTTCATTTCGTGTTTTTTAAATAACTAAATTTATGTTTCACATTCATATCGTTTCACTTTCACATAACATTATTTCCTTTGCTCATACTTCAATTCCACATGTTTCCCAATTGTAATGATAATACAACTTACACTACACATGTTTCACATGCCAATCGTTTCACCTTCATTTCCAGCCATTTTTAAACTGAATTCGGTTTGCTCGTTTCTCAATTCCATTTGTTACAGACTCGAAATGATGTTACTACAACATGTTTCACATGCCAATCGTTTCACCTTCATTTCCAGTGATTCCATTTGTGTTCCGATTCACCCTCTCCACATTGACAGCTCCTGCTGCGCCCCGCCCCTTCCCCCAAAAAGGGCTTTCAAATTGCTTTTTGTTCGCTTTTCAGTTCCATTTGTTTTTCTACTCAAAATGAAATCGATACGAATGAAATTGCCATTTATTTCGAAACATGCTTTACATCTGACATGTTGCACATTTCTAGCTGCTGCAGCTGCTGCTCCGCCGAGGGACCCAACGTTGCCGGAGCTGAGCAAGGTGGCCAAGCAGAGGAGGGTGCCGGCATCTCGTCTGGGCCGGATGGCCTCGTTCGGCGGCTTGTTCGCCGGGCTCGGCCTGGGCACCATCAATGAGCTGACCAAGGGCGCCCTCGGGCTGGGCGGATCGACGAATATGCGCGACGCTCTGCTCAGTCCAGCGAACGCGGAGCGGATCGTGGATACGCTGTGCAAGGTGCGCGGCGCCGCACTGAAGATTGGCCAAATCCTGAGCATACAGGACACGAATGTGGTATCGCCGCAGCTGGCGAAGGCATTCGAGCGCGTTCGACAGGCGGCCGACTATATGCCCGACTGGCAGGTGGAGCGCGTGATGACCACCCAGCTGGGGCCCGATTGGCGCAAGCGTCTGCGCACCTTCGATGACAAACCGTTTGCCGCGGCATCTATCGGCCAGGTGCATCGGGCCACGCTGCTGGACGGCATGGAGGTGGCCATCAAAATCCAATATCCCGGCGTTGCCCAGAGCATCGAGAGCGACATCGACAATCTGGTCGGCATGCTCAAGGTGTGGGACGTCTTCCCCCAAGGCTTCTTCATCGATAATGTGGTGCGCGTGGCCAAGCGCGAGCTCCAATGGGAGGTGGACTATGCGCGCGAGGCTGACTACACGGAGAAGTTTCGGCAGATGATATCGCCCTACAAAGAGTATTATGTGCCCAAGGTGGTCCGTGAACTGACCACCTCCAGTGTGCTCACCACGGAACTGGTTCCGGGAGTGCCACTCGACAAGTGCTTTGAGCTTAGGTGAGTGCTGAACGGCAAAAAGTTCTATTTTTAACTGGTTCACTTTTGAGCCACTAGTTCACTAGTTCCGAAAAAGAATCTCGTGTAAATATGGTTATAAATATTAACTACATTCGATTTCCAGTTGTCTAAAGCATTATCAAATAACTGGTTCATTGCTCACTAGCTCCAAATGAAAAAGAACCAGCTGCCCATACATAGTCGCTGAATCACATTTGATTTACAGCTCCCTCAGGCAACGTCATAGATTAGGCAAAGAAGATTCTGCCTAACTGGTTCATTGTTCACTAGTTCCGATCGAAAAGAACCAGCTGGCCATAAGTAGTCGCTGAAACACATTTTATTAACAGCACCCTCAGCTACAGTCTTCGATTAGGCAAAGAAAGTTTTAGCTAACTAGTTCATTGTTCACTAGTTCCGATGTCATTTGATTTTTACTATATTCATTGTGTGCCTATTGCATTGGTTCATTTTCTGCCTCAATATTGCATTGGTTCACCTTGAAGTTCTACTGCTTCACTGGTTCAATTAGCAAAGATTCAAAAGCCCTTACATCCGCTGTTCACTGTGATTCTTTTTTAAGCTGATGTCATTGATTAGACAAAGATAGACATACATGTAGCTGGTTTATTATTCGTTTACAGCTCAACTGGTTCCTCATGAATTGTCCCATATGCCATATAATAGTTTATCTAGCTCTGAACTAGATTTTTACCTAACCTCACTTAGTGTTTCTTATGAATATTTAACCTCACTTGTTCAGTCTTTAATCATATTTAACCTCAATTTATTCTCTTTTAAACCTCACTTCTCTCTTAACTCTATTTAACCTCACTTACTTCTCCTTTAACCTAACTTAACCTCACTTTCTTTTTCCCGCCAGCTATGAACATCGCGCCCACATCGCCGCCTCGGTCCTAAAGCTCTGCCTGCGCGAGCTCTTCGAGATCGAGTGCATGCAAACGGATCCGAATTGGTCGAACTTCCTGTACGATGCGAAAAGTAGCCGATTGATGCTAATCGATTTTGGATCGACGCGATTCTACAAGCACGATTTCATTCGGAACTATCGCCAAGTGATCATCAGTGCCGCGCAGAACAATCGCAACGGCGTCCTCGAGATGTCACGCAAGATGGGCTTTCTCACCGGCTACGAGACGAAGCAAATGGAGCAGGCGCATGTCGATGCGGTGATGATACTCGGCGAGATCTTTCGTTACGACGGCGACTTCGACTTTGGCAAACAGAATACGACCGAGAGACTGGCCGCTCTGGTTCCAACGATGGTTGCGCATCGTCTCTGCCCACCCCCGGAGGAGATTTACTCCATACATCGCAAGCTGTCGGGCATCTTTCTGCTCTGTGCCCGTCTCAACGTTCGCATGAACTGCGTGCCCTTCTACAACGACATTATTTTGGGCAAGTTCAAGGATTAAGCCAGGATTGGTTTTCTTTTTAATTTTTTTTATTGTGTCTGGCAAGGAAATAAAGTGCTCTTAGTCTCTGGTTTTGGTCACTAAAAGGAAAACGAAATATAATAGATTCGCTAACAATTTTCTGTTTAGTTTTATAAAGGTTCCAGAATAAAAAACATAACCTCAATTTTCATTTTTATTTTAAATTTAGCGGTTAAGGATTCTGTGGTTCATTTCCAAAACGGAGTCAGTTAACCCATAAGTGCGCAACTTTTGTTTCTGTAATATGTAAACACATATAAATTTTATATAACAGTTTAATAAAAATTAGATATAGTTTGTTTCAAATATATACATTTTATTTACACTTAGATAAATAACATAAGGATATATTTAATTGCTTCTAAAATGTATTATTATGTAAATGATTGTATAAGGGTTGACAAGAACAGCACGAACTTGTTCTGTTCTGCACAGCTGTAGGTTTTAACATAGCTGCAAACTTAGCACAGACCACATTGAATCATAGAACTAAATCCAGTTCGGTCAACCCTCTCAAAGCAACTCTGTATTAACAGCGCGGCAAACTTAAAAAAAGGCGCTCAACAAAACATCAGCTGAGTCAATTGCAACTTTTTGGGTGTATCACAGGCGATATTTCAGTTTTTATTATTATTTCAATCCGTGCAATGTACACGTTGGAGTAGCAATTAATCAAGTAACTCAAATCAATTCAAAATTAACGGCAACACGCCAAACATTCTGTTCTGTTACCGTTAGCAACGGACGCTGTGAAGAACAGCGGCACAACAGTTGCCAAATAATGCTGATACATAAAGTGTCATACCCCTAGAAAGTGTCATACCCTGAACAGTGTTCTGATAAGACATATGAATCGATCAAGTGTCATGCTAGCATTAGCGTTTAACAGCTCCCATTGAGCATAACAGTGCCAATTAGAGTATTTGCGTTATTTTGATTTTAATTTGAATTGATTTCCTACGTTTTGCTTTTGCATTAACAACTTGTTGATTAACTAAACAATTGCATTTAAGTCGCAAAAAACGCAAGCATTTGGGCGTTGCAGTAAGCGCATTCGGCACTTCCAATGCAATTGGCCTGCCATAGATGACCAAATGCGTGGAGCATTCGTAAATAATAAAATGTCGCTACTCTCTTTTAAATATCATTTTCAGTGCGTTTTTGCATTTCGTGCGTGCCAGATCGTTCGTCGTGCACTTCGTGCGTCTCATACGGTGTGTGATCGGCGAAGTAGTCGCCGCCGCAGCAACGACAACAACAACTATAGTAATAATAATAATAATAACAACAACAAGAGACAGCGTTTTATGCACATGTCTGTGTGTATGTGTATTTTATTAAATTTAATTTGTGCGTTCTTTATTTATTTAAAATTATATGTATTTCTTTTTTGTTTAAATCAATATTTCTTGCCGCCTATTCTTGTTGTTGTTGCCGCTGCTGCGACTTAAAATGCGCGCGCGCAACTCAATTGCAATGTGTTTACAGTTACAAACATCCTTTTTTTTTAAATAGTTCGTCAAGTTTTATTTATTTTTTTTGTTTTTTGTTGTTGAGTGAACCTGTTCACCAGAAGCGAACTAAATTAGTGCAAAATTTTACAGCACATGTCATGTAAAAATAAATATATCTATATGAAAAAAAAGTGTTCGCATGTGTGTGTGTGAGTGTGTGTATGTGCGTGTGTGTGTGTGTACGTGCGTGTGAGGAAGTTACAGTTTAATGTTGGTTAGTCTCAATTGTCGACGACGAGGCTTTGCGGCTGATTGATGCCAGAGTAGTTGTTGTTGCCAGCTACTTTGGACAAACAAATGTAAGTATATGCACAAGTGTGCGCTCATCTCTGTGTGTGTGTATGTGTGTGAGTGCGAGAGGGAGAGGCGGAGGGAGAGTGTAAAACGAAAGCCGCAAGACAAAGTGCAATAGCAGCAGCCGTTGATCTTTATACGCCGCTGCCACTGCCGCTGCCGCCGCTGCTGCTGCTTATTTTTTATCAATGAAAGTGTTTTTGTTTTTGTTTTGTTTTCTTTCCTTCTTTCACGTCATTTTTTGGGTGCTGCCAACTTGTTGCATCTGCAAGCTGTGAATGCAGTTGGCTAGCGACCACGCTTAACTGCCTAGACTAACATTGTTTGTTGCTCTTTAAGCATTTGGCTTAGTTCAGTCTGAAGCGGGCTAATATTACAACTGTGTCAATACACACAGGTACGGACAGGTAAACACAGGTTTACACATCTACAAATACACACAAACCTATGTATATATCAGTGACTATATTCAATAGTCTGAATATATATAACTTTTTTCCTGCAAATTTGTTTTGGCTTAACTGCCAAATACCCTGCAAAAAAAAAGCATTTCTTCAATATAATACTGCAGGCCTTAATATAATATTTGAAATAGCCCATGTCTATGCATTTCGCTAAACGTATACCCTGCAAAAAGAAAACTTATGAAATAATCGAGTTTTTAATACATAATATCCAAAGTAAAGGCATCAACAAATCTAAAATAGTGGCATCAACAAATCTCAAATTTCGTATACCCTGCATAAAATTAAATATATAATATTTATATATATACCCTGTAAAAAAGTAATTAAACTGAAAATGTTTGAAAAACTTGAAATACTTAAGAGATAAGAATGGAAATCAGAATTGATCTTTGCTAAAATAACTGAAGAATTTATTTCAAGGCAGTAACAGGGTATTTGATGGTTGGTTTATTGTTTTCTATTATTTATATATACCTATATATATATTTTATTGTTTTCTATTATTTATATATACCTATATATATTTTTTTTCATTCTATATATTCTTGTATATATATATGCTTGTTATCACAGTTCAAGAAATAGTTGCTTACAGGGTATTTGCTAGTTCAGTCGTCTGTGCTTTACGTTTTTCATAGAGTGAACTCTATGAAAACGTGACATTTTCCTTAGCAACATTAAGAACAGTGTTTATTTATTTTGTTTTTTTTTATATTTTGTTTTTGTTTTCATTTTTATATAAATTTGTTATTTTTTGTTTGCATTTATTTATTGTGCTGGACTATCACAGCACGTCGAAAATAATTTATATACATATATACTTTATATATATATATATATATATATATATATATATATATAAAGAATATATATATATATATATATATATATATATATATATATATATATATATATGTATGTGTGTGAGGCAAATAAACTGTTTTACATATGTGTATTGAGAAATGCCGTTGCCAGCGACACCAGCAACAGCAATAACAACAACAACAACAAGATGAAGAAGAAGAAGTACAACAATCAGAAGAGAAGAAACCTTTTGATAATCATATCACGCAGTCCACTGATAATTCCCATTGTATTCCACATTTTGTGGTTGCCGCGCGTATTATCAGCAGTTCTCTCGCTCTCTTTTGCTCTCTCGCTCTGCGGCTCACTCTTTATCTGTCGCTGTGTCTTAAGAGCGTGCGACGAGAATTCGTTCAATTTATTTGTTCTCTTTTCTTTTCATTTCTTTTCTTCTTGAAATTGGAATTTCTTTGCATAGAAGCAAAAATTTGTTGTTTTTTTTTTGTTTTTTATTGCTATTATTAAATTTAGAATACAGTGAAAACTCGAATAGTTCGCTTGAGTTTATATAGTGGAGAGTACTATATAGAGTTGAGTTATGGAAAATAAAAATGATCGAAAAATTGAATAAATTCTTATAAATATAAACAGAATTATGCAGATCTTAAGTTAAGATACTTGTAGAAATTAAAAAAAAAAATAGCAAATATTTAACTCCATCTGGATCTCTTCCATTATTCTAGATTTCTTGCTCTATATTGTCAGAGATTGTTAAAACGTTTTTCACTTTATAACATCCACATATATCTCACTTTCTCTCTCTCTCTCTCTCTCTCTCTCTCTATAGCCTGGTCAACATATCCAAGACAGTCTGTCTGCCTGCTTGTTACTATGCAAAGTTTTCGCCAAGTTCGGCGCGCTTTAGTACGCAGGCAAACAAAGCTATAATTTATAACTGATATAGTTAATTATATATGCCCAGTTGTATCTCAGCTTATCTTAAAGTAAGGCAAGCATTTTAACTGCTTTAGCTTTAATGAGCTTTTTTTTTGCTGCTAAGCTCATGATAAAAATGAACTTAATGTTAAGAAGCAAAGAGTGTTGGATAAGGTGAAGCTTTTGTCATTGGAAATATTTAAAATGAAAACATAAATATCAAACTTTAACTTAGTGTTAAAATAACAGTGTTGAACAATGCAACGATTTGGAGCAACTTGACTGTATGCTAACTGAAATCAGTGTTGGAAACTGCTTAAATTTTCTTTTATTACTGAGAAAAGTTAGCCGAAGGCGACATTAACGTCTGGCCTATGCAAAGGCAGCAAATTGGAAATGAAGCCAAAGAAAAGCAAAAAAATCGAAAAACGAGAAAAAAATAAGAATACTAATAATAATAATAATATTAAATTATTGTGTAATTTACATTAACGAGCGGATGTCGTTGGCTTCTACAATATAATGAACCAATTACCCAGTTTGTCTCTTGATTCGATTGCTCGCACACAGCTACAAACACAAAGATACAAAGATACAGATACACAGATACAAAGATACAGATACGAATGCTGAGATTTGGTGCGCCTTTTGCGCTGCCATTTAAATATTTTCATTCATGTTGAACAAAAAAAAAAAAAAAACGAAAGAAATAAAAAAACACCCACTTGATGATGATAATCAACATTAAAAGCGTTGCGAATTTGCTTGCGAGATACAAGATATATAGAGCCATAGGTTAACAGATACAATATCTCTCACTCTCTCTATCTTCCTCTGGCTATCTGTCAGCTGTGTAGCATCTCAAGTGCCGCTTCCGCATTTGCCGGCCACCCACGTGCCAAGCGCCTTAAGTATTCAAAAGTATTCGTGAGTATACTCAGACACCAAATTGTTGTTTTTACTCGTTTCCTCAGCAGCCCCCAAAGCGAAACGTTTCCAAAAAAAAAGAATCAATTAATAGTGCCTGACTCGCAAATACCCAGCCCGAAGCCCCTGATAAATATATGCTAAGCGATAGTGCCTGACTAGAAGATACCCTGTACTTGCAAGCATTCTAGGCACACACCCACACACACATGTTGTCATGTCTAGTCTTCTTCTACCCACTGCACCTCGGCACTTTCTCATACCTTTTAGAATTACTTCGGTTCTAGTTGCACGATTTTAGTGCAATTTTCCGTCGAAATAGATTTATATACAAAAGATCACGACTCGACTACTTGAGAAACGAAAATGTTTATTAACCGTGTGGTCTTAATGACAAACATTTCTCAAGTATTTGAGCTAAGCCTTAAAGGAAATCAAGTTGAATTCTATCGAACTAAAGGAAAATGGAATCAGATATTGAAAGAAGACCAATATCACGGATAGAATATCGAATAGAATGACGAATAATAGAATGACGGATAAACAATTGAATAGTTAGTCGATTACGCAGAGGAACTGCTAGACAGACAGACGGATGGACTAAAGGCCAGGCAATTGGATATGGCTAGATCGAATCAGCTCATCCTTTGACAGTCGGACGGACGAACTGGCAGTCGGACAAAGAGGCAATCGGATTTGGTTAAATCGATTCAGTTCATGCTCCTCGTACAGAACATATATTGATCAGAGAACTTCCGTTACCTCTTGCGCATTATGCCCTTATTGACCAGTTTCAATGGGTATTCTAATATAAATATACATGTGTATAGAGTAGCGTCCAATCTGAACTGAACTCAGCAGCTGTCACTGGGTAAATATGACGATTAAATTCTTCAATTACGATTCGCTTGCGCGTAAATAGCATAACTAGTGTCTGGCTATAGACTGACTATTTTACTTATAACTGAATAAGTATGCAAACATATATATACACACACACACTGCATGCTGAAAGCCAATACCCTTCAATTGTGTTAGGGTAGTTCATTGAGAGCAGAAAACTTGTTACTCTCTACTCTCTACTCTCTACTCTCTACTCTCTACTCTCTACTCTCTACTCTCTACTCTCTACTCTCTACTCTCTACTCTCTACTCTCTACTCTCTACTCTCTACTCTCTACTCTCTACTCTCTACTCTCTACTCTCTACTTTCTACTCTCTACTCTCTACTCTCTACTCTCTACTCTCTACTCTCTACTCTCTACTCTCTACTCTCTACTCTCTACTCTCTACTCTCTACTCTCTACTCTCTACTCTCTACTCTCTACTCTCTACTCTCTACTCTCTACTCTCTACTCTCTACTCTCTACTCTCTACTCTCTACTCTCTACTCTCTACTCTCTACTCTCTACTCTCTACTCTCTACTCTCTACTCTCTACTCTCTACTCTCTACTCTCTACTCTCTACTCTCTACTCTCTAATCTCTACTCTCTCTCTACTCTCTACTCTCTACTCTCTACTCTCTACTCTCTACTCTACTCTACTCTCTACTCTCTACTCTCTACTCTCTACTCTCTACTCTCTACTCTCTACTCTCTACTCTCTACTCTCTACTCTCTACTCTCTACTCTCTACTCTCTACTCTCTACTCTCTACTTGAAGTTCTCTTTGCCTTTGATATCATTTCAATTCTAAGGGTATTCCCGCTTCGTGGTTATCTACCCATGATGTTTATCGAGCTGATTGTTGCTGTTGTTGTTGCTGATTCGTATTATTATTATTATTATTACAAGCTAACATATTATTATCGTTTTATTGTTTCTTGTGTGATTCTCTCGCTGGTTGCGCTGTTGACACTTCTAAGACGTTT